GTTTGGCATGCGTTTTGCATTTTTAAAGTGTAGCATGTTGCTATAGGACTAAGTTGGCTCAAGCCCTAACCCCATTCTATCTGAGGAAGTCGAAGAGAAAGTAGACAAATTTTGCTACTTAAGCAGCTATATCTCCCCTGGCGAACGCATCATGAAGTGTCCGTGCGCATACAAAAGGCTCTTTTGCTGTTTGCCAAGTTCAGACATCTGTAGCGCCGTCTATGAAGGATCCAGTATATGCTTTTTCATTCTACTTTATTGAATATACCAGGATACAATTTTCAAGAAGGGGAAAGAGGCCAATCAAAGGGCTGCCGTTCAATACACAGTGGGGAAAGTCAGGCGGTGGTGGTGGGATTCGAACACATCCCCGAGGTGATAATATGATGTTACCACCGGACCACCACCGTCAGCAGTTTGACCAGTACTGCCTTACATTATGGATACTTGGTCATTATTCGGTTCCGCTTTTTATAACCACTGACCATGCACTAAAGTTGAAAAGTCGCATATCCTGCGCCACTGTACAATCAGTTCTGCTTTACGGTTGGAAGACATCTATCGCCTAGGGGTTTTCGACAATCGATGCTTACGTAGTCTGGCTCAAGTGGGATGGAGTGAGCGGATTAGTAACCTAGAAGTAATGAGTCGAACAAAAACTCGCTGTCGCATCGAATCCAGTTCAGTATGCTCCGTTCGTTAGGACACGTTTTGCATATGTCCGACGGTCGCCTACCGCAGCGAGCTTTATTCACAGTGACTGTTGCAGGTTGGAGGAAGCCACGTGAAGGTCAGAAGATGACGGTGAGACGAGGCATGAAGAAATGCACAGAGCGATTAGGTAGATAGGTATCTCTGGTCTTCCGGGTTGGGGTCCAAAAGATTCCGTAACAGGATGGTTGCAGACACTGAAGGTCATGTCTGCGAGCGAAAGCAATGGTGATCATGCTGCCACTTCTTATCAGACCAGAATGCTTGAAATAGTATGTATGCACAGTTGGACTGTGTACTATATGTGTCGAACATAGAGGTTCGCTTTCATTTCCCGTCCCCGAAAATAGGCCTAATCTCTATCCTCCTTACACATTCTCACTTACCTTGCATGCAATATGAGTTGGGTGGTGATCAGTGAAGTTCACTTCACTGTATTACGCTGTACATTGATGAATGTTCGTGATGACTTTCTTGCGCCAGTTTTGCCTGCTACCTTTTGGTAGTAAATTTGGATAAAAACGGAGGAAGATAGCAATGTTGGGACTTAATTAAAAGGGTAGATAGAGAATTCTTATAGACTAGGGTTACATGAATACTGAGCAGTTGTACGAGCTCCACTGTGTGACACTTGGCTATATCACTTAGCGTTTCTAACTCCCCTTTACCATAATCTCGGTGTCCCTATCCAAGGAGCCTAACGGGACCTATGTGACCCGGTGTCCTAGTTAGGGTTTTCATACCCACATGCCAGGTGTTAGTTTGGCCACCCTTGACGTTTTTTATCTGCTACCTGTCTCGGCAAACATCGCTCACCGTGACGACCTATCTGCGCAGTACATGTCTCAACCAGTGTAATTTATGGAGGGCGATCACTTGCTCCAGTGGACGACCGCGATTAACTCATACGCTACGCTTAACTTCACCATTGCTCGACCGGTTTCCCCACCAGACTCGCGGAATGCGACGTAAACACCGGTGTTCGAATACCGACTACCTCTTTTTATCCTGTTCCCGTAATGGCCAAGTTTCAGCACCGTAGAGCAGTATTGACCAAACTGCTGCAGCATACACTTGGATCTTCACGGAAAGCCGGATTTTGCGACGGCACCAGAGATGTCTCAAGTTGGCAAACGTCAATGGAGCCTTCTGTATGCGTGCCAAAACTTCCTTTGTGACTCGTCCGCCAGGTGAGATATAGGTGCCCAAATAGCAAAAATTGTCTGCTTCCCCGGTCAGGGTGAGGTGGGAGGCTTGGCCAACCCACTGGTATAGGAACAGTTTACACTTTGAAAGTGCAAAACTCATACTGAACATGGGTACACTAGCACTCAAACTATCCAGAAAAGCTTGCAGCTTATCTGGATCTTCATTTAGTAGAACAATGTCGTCTGCATACTCTAAATCAGACAGCCTGCGCCTGGTAGTAAATCGATGCCACTATCCCTGCACGAGGATTGGGCTGTTGCAACAATTTCATCTATGGCTAAGTTAATTCGAAACGGAAACAGAGGCAATCCTGACGAACACTACTTTCAGTAGTGAACTAGATGAAAAAGCGCTGTAGGCTGGAAGTTGGCTATTAGCGTAAAGGGATTGTAGTATTGGAAGAAACTTCTCGGACACACTCTTCAGAGAGAAGCAGCGACAGACGCGGTCATTATGGTAACAGGATGATGATAGAATGTTAGTTTTCAAACACTGCTGTCTACGCCGCATTCCACGAGTCTGGTGGGGAAACGGAACAAGCAATGCTTAGGTTGAGCGTACAGTTTGAGGTATTCGCGGCCGTCTACTAGAGCAAGTGGCCGATTTCCATAGATTGCGTTGGTCAGGGTGTGTTACTCATATTACCAAATAGGTTACCACTGCGCGATGTTTGCCGAGGCAGGTAGTGTGTGGAACAAAGTTAAGGGTGGTCAAAATAAGATATGGCATAGGGATATGAAAACCCTGTCCAGGATACCGCGTCGGCCGCGACCATACCACGTTGGAAACACCGGTTCTTATCTGATCATGGAAGTTAAGCAACGTCGGGCCCGGTTAGTACTTGCATGAGTGACTCGCTGGGAATCCCGGGTGTTGCGGCCGTTCCCTTGCTTCCGAAATCCTCAGTTTGGTCGGGAGTGGGTGTCTAGGGTTGCCGCCGGTCACCCGTTTCTTGCACCTCGCGAAATGCTCTCATACGACCAAGCGTATCAAATAGCCTCTGCTGAGGAAGTCCTACTCACTACCTTCTCGCGGCGGAGGTGCTTTTGCACGAAAGTGAGAGAACGAAAAGCCGATATCCGGTGCTATAACCGGGTTTACGGACTACTAGTAGTTCACCTAGGGGAGATGGCTAAAAACCTGATTCCAAACCAACCAAGAGGAGGCGTACGAACCACCTACACCTTTCCGGTTGTGGTAATGGTCACCAGTTCGATTGGGCATCCAGGTGTACTGGGCACCTTGGATGTTTGACTCCGTCCGAAGAACGTATGATCCGATGAACTGGACACCGGCCCGTAATGGATTGCGGTTTTGACACACCGACCCACTGCCTTGCGGGTCAGGCTTTGGTTAGCCAAAGGCTCCGGTTGTGGATTCCCCAAGAAAATTCACCTGCCTTGACCTGGGCAACCTAGCAGTACTTGGCCCACTTGCAAATCGTGGAGCGTTTTTCTTTTTATTAAAATTATTGTACCACGATTTTTTTGGCACACAGTCTGGCATCAGACGTGTGTTAAATATAAGTAAAATGAATAATACCGGGTCACGTAAGGACCCCGAGGTGATTGCGGACTGGGGTTAGAGACACTGAATGATATGGCTGAGTGTCGTAAACAGTGGTGTCCGTGCATCTCCATTTCCTTGCAACCACAGTCCACTGAAATTCCCCATTTTCTCTTGGATTCTACTTTCTCCTTTCCTCTCGTTCTACTGCNTGTAGCCAAAAGACAGCAACCAAAGCTGGCGGACGAAAGTGCATGGGTAAAGGTCGCACAAACCGAAACTGAAATCATTCATTCATACATACATACACACATATTTACATACATGCAAATATGTACACATACATACAGACAGACAAAAACACATGTGTATATGTACGGTCTGATCAGCTTCCCGGTGGCCGAGTGAGTAGCATGTTTTCGTTCTGCTTGTGGGTCCTGGGTTCGACCCCCAGTTGGATCGATTGATTCGCACTGCTGATGAGACCCAACCAGGTCGAAACAGTTGTCCAGTGCTTCTTAGCTTTTTACTTCACGCTTCATTTGCTATACACGACAAATTCTTCTTTGAAACTAAATACAAAATAAAAATGTATTCTAGTTTTCATCTGACTGCTACATCTCCAAAATGTTAATTGTTTTTGCCCATAAATGGATACACTATGAAAGCGAAGGGGGCAAAGAAACCTTTTGAATGGATGCATTTAGTCAGTCAGTAACTCATGGTCAGACACACTGAGTAATATGGCTCGGTTTCCTAAATAGTAGAGCTTGTGCATCTCAAATTCTTTACAACCTTAGTCTATTTCAATTCTTCGTTTCCTCTTCAGTTCTGCTCTCAATCTTCCACTCCTTCATTCAAATGGGCAGCCGAAAAATAGCAACCAAAATCGACGCACGAAAGTGCCAGTACACACCGAAATCCAACTGGTTATGCTGCTAAACGCATTGAGTCAGTTACCTTGCCGTACCATCTATGTAGCATGCACCACAGACAGTGTATCCTTCACTATCATTCATAGCAGCGGCGATATACAGAACAGCGATCTAAGTTTGACTAAGTAGAATGTGGTATTTATAGCTGCTTTCATTGACTCACCACACTTAATTAGTGTCATTTCACTCTCAAAGAGGTTATCCTATAATTACCTGTTTCAGCTTCCTCGTTGTTATGGGTAAAAACAAAAGATCGCGCTCAAAGTAGGTGACATTTTATAAAAGGCATTTACTGGTTGCAGATCGAATAATTATGACGAAACCCGTCGAAAAATCCTACTGGAAGATAATGAAAAAGAAGATAGAATAATTAAACGTTTGGAAAAGAAGTTAAAAATCCCCAAGAAGACGAAGAGTCCTCGGTTAAAACATCCGGCTTGGATGAGGCAATATGGTCTCGACTGTACGTGTATTTTTACGTTTTCACTTATACTACAGATGTGCTTGATTTCGAGGATGAGGTAAATAATGTTAGACAGGAAGAATCAGTATCCACAACAATTGGAGTTCCATCGAAAAAGAAGAAGAGGACAAGTAAGCCTTTCATATACTTTATCGTGATACTGCGTCACAGAAAACATGGATATTTATGGTCGAGCTGTAAAATCAGTTGACGATCCCACGGGGTCAAACGACAATTTGCCGGAAGACGAGATTTCTGTAGAAGACTTGTCTTTGGATCCATCGTCAGAATTCGTTGCTTCGGGCAACTGCATCACCACTGATGCCCTAAACAAAACAGATGATCTTCCAGATTCTAGTTCTCTTCGAAGATCCATAAGAAGTTGGTTAAATAGAGTTTCGGAAGCCCAAATGGCTCGCGTGGTGACCGAACTCACGAATCTTTTTTCCGACCATCCTAGGGCCTTGGTAAGATCGATCCTTATTGAGGAATTATGTGCATTATTGTCAGTAAGTCCAGTTTATTGCACAGCCTTCTCCCAACCAGTGTGTTAGTCTTCTCCAGTCAGTACTCGATCAAATACCGGCTGGCTGCAGCAGGAATTGGCTGTGTGCATGGCTTGTGTTCATATAAGTTTGCATATGAAATTGCAACATGACAATTTGGTTAGTTATGCGGTGGAAAACGTTGTGGACACGCTATTCGATCAATCCGGAAATTTCAAATCAGCAAATGGATCCACTTCTCTATGCCTGTTCCTATCTTACCTTTACCGATTCGAAGTGAGTTCCACTCAGGTTGCCTTTCCAAATAATGCAGGTTGTATCGGCAAACCTTGTGTTTGATATCATGCATAGACTACTGGACGCAGGCTCACTTTCGGAATTTAAAATCGTCCATTTTATTTCCTCAGGTACGTTTTGATTTTTCATCCTAATACATAAGTCTTATAAATTTGAATAACATACCGGTATATGTTTATTTGTTCAGTTATCTACTATATATTGTGGATTGTGGATTATTCAGTCTACAAGTCCTGAGGTGTATGCTTTTCTTTCCTCCATCTTTCACATTCTCCCAACCTCGAGTATTCCTACTTGCACCCGTCATCTTTTCTTCCAATCCATTCTCAAACTATTGAAATTTGGTTCTGTTATCTCAGGTTGAATGAACTCGTTTTCACCTGTTCCTGAGCTTGGCAAATTTTTCGCATAAGTATCACAAAAGATTGGAGTTGATATCTGCAGGGTTTAGCTTAGGGTATATTGGCGCGTTGCCTCGGTTCTTTCACTTTTCTACATTCTTCAGTGATCTCGGTTCATTGTTCTCATTGTCCCCAATCCAGTTCGCCACTGAACTGGCTCGAATCGGGTTGTTCTTTCTTTTCGGTTCCGACTTGACCTCTTNCCTCTTACAACTAGGCGCACTCTGGTAGCCAGTCATTTTGTTCCAGTTTTCCTCTCTCTTCCACCCGAAGTTGCACTTATATCTTTCGGTTTTTACTCTAAGCACAAAACTGTGGAAAACGCACTTCTTGAAAAGCGGAGTCGATAAAGTGGTTGTAAGATGAATGCCCCTCCAACCCTCTCCACTCCTGCAGTATACAGTTGACTATGAGCCTTTCCCCTTTCACTGGAATACTCCAAATATGTAATGGAATATCGTTAACATTACCGCTCTCTCCCACAGCTGTCGGTGTAAATCTGAGAAAATCGGACTTGCACATGTGCCAGGACATTGTCCAAAAGGTCACAAAACTACTCACCCAGTGCAATTCAGATCAGATTGAATCAATGTAAGCTTTCTGCCTTTCATTCAACATCCGTTTTTTTTCAGTTGTGAACTTGAGGCGATTGTCCAACGACTATCGGAAAAGCATTCTAAATATGAGAGTGTCTCACGGGCTTTGCATTTGAAAAAGATGATGAAAACGTGGACAAAAGGTATGATTATGTTCATTCGTTTGCGTCATTCATGTGAGAT